TTTTCCCCCAAACACTAACTCCTAGTTTTATTTATTAATTCAATACATTTTTTTGTTTCCAATTTTGTTTACCTTTTCTTTGATTTTCAGAATTTCTATTTTGACAGTTAGCTGTTACGTGTGTGCATGTGTGTATGTGTGTATGTGTGTGTGATTACTTTTCCAGTTTTTTTAATTACAATTCTATTTTGTTAATACATTCTTTTTCAGTTTTACTGATTAAAGTGCTTAGAAATTTACATTTTCCTTGAAGAACTGTTCAATGTACCACCAAAATATGATCACTTTGTCAAATATTATAATTTTCTTTGACAGAACTATGTGTTGTTTCTATGAGATATGTTCTATCCACTAATTATTCATTTATTATTTCTAATTATATTTGAATATTTTCTTGAAATTTTCTTTATTGGCTATACTTTTTATTTCTTCATGGTCAGTAAAGGATGTCCTTAATATTTCTACTTTTCTATATTTATTTATGAGGTTTTTGTGCCATAGTACATGGCCAATTTTTATAAAGCTATCTTGTATAGTTTAGAAATATGTGTAATCCTTTAATCCTTTCAATTCTTATTCAGTAATCTCCACAAATCTGTCATAGTTATTTTTTTTTCTGAAATTCTCTACAGAGACAAAGATTCTTGCTTATATTGCTTATATTTTTGTTAGATTTGTTCAAGTCTGAAAGGGTATATATGTATATGCATATATATATAATGATTATAGTTTTGCATTTTATCTATTGATAATATTTATGATACTTTAAAGTATAATATAGTTTTCTTATTTATCTCTTATAACTCTGTCTTCCTTTTCCCTTTAGATCATGATTGTTACCTCAGCTTTATTTTCAATTCACAGGAGGCTTAATCAATTCTGTCCTAATCCCCTATTTTATCTCTGAAACTTTATGTTTCAAGTGTACTTCTTATAAATACCATTACTAGATTCTAATTTCTAAAGCATTCTACTATCCTCATTAATTTTACGTGTGAGTTCTTTAGGGTGAGACATTTGCCTTCATGATTGATAACTGATTTTGTGTTGATCTCCATCCTATCCTCTTGTGCTCTTTTCTCTCATTGCCCTGCCCTTGCTCCCTTCTTTATAAAGCTGAAGTCAGTAACAACAAGATTGTGTTGAACATTAGTGAGCTATAACCTGAGTAATCTGCTTATTTTACCTTTCTCTCTTTTCCTTGGTCAGACTTTGATCACTGGTTCTTATACTTTTTTTTTAACCTATATAATTCCCCTTTGCAATTCACTCTTTGAAGATGAAATTTGTTTTACTTATGTCACTTCACTCCCCTATACTATATTCCCACTCAAATCCTTTTCTCTGATCTCCTCTCTCTGTTTTCCAATTGAGTTTAAAATATTTCTAAATCAAACTCTTCTTCTTCTTTTATCAATGAGAGTTTTTACTATCATATTACACAGTTTCATAGATGATCCTGAAGCTACACATATATAAACTTATGGTGCTTTATCTCAGCTCATCAAAGTAACCACAAATTTGGAATGATATGCTAGTTATATTTGTAATTTTGCAATACTACTTATATAAGCTATTAGTTGTATATGATGTCTTGCTATTTTCTTCACAAATACTTCTCATCTAATTTCTACCACTAACAAAACTAGTAATGAATCTAAATATTCAAAAGAGCTTTGAAATACCTATAGCCTTTTGTACTATATATAATCTGTTTACAAGTTGCAATATAGTGGTCTAAAAGTGAAAGAGCTTACATTGTATTTTTGATGGTGAGGAGTTAAGATTATTTCACAGAGTGCTTTTGACAGATTTGAAATGTGAATGTTTTATTTTTCCCCAGTAAATATACAATACACAATTTTTTGACAGTACTAGTAACCAACTTCTTATGCCAATTTAACTTTGCTGTACTAACAATACCAATGTAACACATTAATAGTTGGGAATTTTTTTTTTTGGTGATTTGAACAAACTACAGACAAAAATAAATCTAGAAAAACAAATATAAAAAAGTCTAAGTGCTGCCACAACATCCCTCATCTTAAAACATGATAAATTCACAATCAATGGCTTGGATCAGGATGAAATATAAAAAGAAATAGCAAATTAAATCATATTGGGATTGTACTATGGTGTGTTTTAAGTACAAATATTAGAAAAGAAAATAGTACACTTCATGTAATGTTATAACATGTTGTTATATATACCGAATTCTTGTCATGTCATTTCAGAAGCAAAATACAGAGGCAGATGAACAAGTTAGTGAATATCATAGTCCTGTACAACTCCAATACTGACACACACAATCACTTCCCATTGGAGCAGATAAATCACATATCTGAAATTGATAGAGATGGTTATGATTATGTTGTCAAGGGATAATAGTATAAATTTTTGACAGAAATTGTGAGTAAGGTGTTCCACCAAAGCTAAACATAAACTTTAACTCAACATCCATTGAAGACTAATTAAAATTCTTAGAACAACAAAATATGAAGTTATATATTAATAAATTTCATAGAATCATAGAGTTGGGAGGGATTGTAGAGGTCATCTGATCCAACTTCCCCCCTACACCAGAAGATATTATTATAACATCTCTATGGATGGGTCTTCACCATATAATACAGAAGTGAATGAAAAGTCTAATGCTTTTATTTTCCTGGTCTATTATTTAACCTTTATTACACCAATGCTGAACTCAATTACCCTTTTATGCTTTCTACTTTCATTCTCTTCTTGAGTTGGACTCACAATCAATGGAGTGATTTCACGTAGCTCATTGTGTTGGCACCAATGCTATTCTATCTCTACTTTAAAATGGTATAGAAAAGATTTAGAACACAAGTATTGTATCTACAACATAAATACAGAGCCAAAGATGAGCATTTGCTCTGACAGTCACAGGCATTTCATAAAAAGGAGTTCTTCAAACTAAATAATATTGTGCTTATGCAGAAGTGGCCATGAGGTAGCATTATCCTTGACTGCAAAGTGGGATGATACTCCCTACATCCACATAAACCAGTGGAGGCCTTCAATTTATAGATTTACATGGACTTGCTCTGTGACTTATGGAACAGAGAACTGAGTATAATGAAATTATAACTATACTAATACAGTCAACAAGGAAAAGTAGACTTTGCAGTTAGTAACAAATGTTTATACATTTGATTTGATGTCTTGGCTTACATCCTATTTGACTTCTTATAGTTAGCAAGATGAATAATGGTTATTTTAATTTTTTATATTATTGCTGAATTCCATTTGATAACTATAGTATTATTGTATGTCAGTATGTAGGCCATATCTTTGTAAAATACACTCTCCATTTTGTAAGTAATTTAAGACCAATTTACCTAGATGTGGGGATAACAGGGAACACAGACCATTCTGATAAGGCATTCAGCTAAGTACACTGTATAAACTTATACATCCAGTCGTAACAACCACTCATTTCCTGCTCAAGCCCTTAAATTTATGTCATCTGAGCAGACAAGAGTGTTTTTAGCAGCTACTGTCAACAGGTTACATGCATTTGACTAAAATAACACACTACTCAGAGATATGAATCAAACTCTGAGGCTGAAAAGTTTCAAATAGAGTGGATGAAGACACTCAAATCTGGCATTGCAAACACCATAGTCTGAAATCCCTCTGCCTTACGGTCTCTGGATGTTCATGTTATCATTGCCAACGCGGTGCTCACACTTTTATCAGATACTCTTTCATATCAGAAGGAAAACAAAACTCACTAAAGTTGCAGACGCTGATGTTACAAAACAATCTGGGTAGGATAATGTGGGTATGTCCAAAAGTGAACATGAACTCTGTTTATTGTCCATTGTGGAGTCACTGGTATGGAGTGAAGAACAGATGTTTCTTCACCCCCCAAAGCACAGCTTGGTTCCTAATGTTTGCCTATATTGGTATGGGTTAAGGAAAAGTAAAGGGAAGAAATAAATTTGACAATGCCAACTACTCTGCTAATATAATGAGAAGTAGAAGTAGGGGAATTAAAGCCAACAAAATATTTAAGTGTGGACTTAAAAGGCCCTCTTGTTGCAGAACTGGTGCCAAACTTTTTATTGAAAGGAATAGTGAATCCTCTTGGAGAGTAATGAGAAAGAATAGACCTAAGCAGACTCTAAAAATGTGAATATGCCATGTGGGCAAACTTTAAAACTGGGAATTTCAAGACAGCTTTGCTTCGATTGATTTTTATATATGCACAACAACTAATAGCTATTTCAAAATTTTAATGATTTTCTTCATACTTGAGTTGCAAAAAAATATTATTTTGAGTCATGAAAACAAATGACAAAGCAGGATGCTGTTATTAATGTCCACTTACAAGGTTTGGCTTTATTCAAAAAGCATATAAACATGCACTGTTTTCTTGTTAATCTCTTTTTTTTCAATTCACTCATAAAAGTGGATCAACTATATTTTTTTGGTTGGGAGCCAATTTTTGAAAATGTTCAGCTTTATTTCAAGAAATCTACTTACCATGAAATGAACATACTCTTGGCACTGCTATTCAAGCACTTATAATCTGACTACAAGTTTGGTGGAATACATTTTACTTCTTAATTAAATAAAACATATTTTTATGTAAATTGCATTGTAAAAAAGTTATGAATTTCAGTGATGCAGCTCTATCCTCTAGTGTACTGTGCATGTATTATAAAGATGAAACAAGATATTGTAACATATTTCATATTTGGAAGAAGCCTGAGTATGATCAAGTGATAAATTACATCTTTAACTACTTGATAGATATTCTAGAGTTTATATTATTTGTTTCCCTGGGGAACTTCACATCATATTTTGACTTAATGGGTTGGAGAGATTAATTATGGTAATTCACAAAATGCTTTAAAACTGTAATATAAATACAGCCTTAGTGAAACACCTTAATTTATTTTGTTTATATTATATCATATATTGTTCAATCATATTTGGGCAAGTAAAAACTGACACTCCAAATAACCTTATTTTTTTCATCAAGTATATCATAGCTATATGAATATTTTATATATATTCATTCCTTTCTTTTTGAACACCTTTCTTTTGAACCCCATATACTTTTTAAAACAGTAAAAGCAGCCATCTTGCTTTTTTTAATTGAATTAGTCCCTGATGTTCAAATAAGCCTTTGCCAACATCAATTTTCCTTTTCATCTTCTACATGTTCCTATACCCCAATGGAAAACCATATAACATAATCAGTTACATCCTGCATTATTCAACATAGCTTACAGTACAATAAACTCCCTTCACATTCAGTCTTTTTTCTTTATGTCATGAGGAGTAGAGATTTGTGCTTATCACCAAATAAAATTGCAGTGCAAACTTTAAACATAAAAGTTACACAATTAAAAGTTAATATATGGCACCACAGCCTATTAATTCACATATAGTACAACAGACTAGTAAGAACAGACAGTAATATGAACATAGCTAAAAAGACAGTGAACTTGCATAGCAATGCAACAAAAGAAATTATATACAGAGGAAAATCCTTTTCATCCTGGAGGGTGATTTTTTTTCTTTCTTTTCTATATACTCCTGACAAGAAATAGTTAAGGTGGATGGTGTCTTTAAGAGAATACAAGTAAAATATCTGTGGGATATGTGTGGCTGTGTGTCTTTACATTGCATTTACAATTCTTTTAATAGTACATAAATAAAGAAATTGTTCATTGCACTGTTTAGTGTCATCACTTCCATGAGTTCAGACCTGATGGTCCTTCAGAGCAGCTTTGCATTTCTCTTCTCAACTACTCTAATACAAAGAGAGAGAGAGAGAGAAAGAGAGAGAGAGAGAGAGAGAGAGAGAGAGAGAGAGAGAGAGAGAGAAAGAAAAATTAATAAAAAATATAATAGCAAGAATTATGCCAAGCAGATGACTTAAGTGGTCACTTCAATAACCTAAGCTGGACACATTTTACAGTTAATGTTAGTTTCATGAAAGCAATTTCTTAAAATATACTTGTTATGCTTCTATTTCCAGTTCTATTCTTAATTGGGGGAAAGAAAATCAGTTTAAGGCATGTTGATCATTAGAAGGAAGAAATGTTATAATCATTTAGTTAAAAAATAAAAGTAGGCTCAAAGCAGCTTTAGAGACATTCATGGATGACAACATATTACTAAAGGTACTCATGACTTCTATCTTAAACATTACCATGTTCTCCAAGCAATGTTCCTTACATTGTTCCTTAGCAATGTTCCTTACACTGTGCCTTAGCAATCTTCCATACAGAGACTATTGGTTGCTCCAATGAATCTGATAGAATACAGACTTTTTTTGGTACAGTTACACAATATATTTTTCAACGTTTCAAGAAATCAGATTGGAAGACCCACTGAAAATGTGAGATGGTGGGGAAATGGCATGAATTAGGTTAGGAGAGGAGATTCACATAAAGCTGGATCCCACACTTGACTGCTGTCCCCACTTTGGAGCACATTGGCCATTTAAGGGTTTTCTTGTTTGTAGAAGGCCTTTAAAGCTGTACTAGGCCCCAGAGGATCAAAAGAGATAATATTTTTGTTAGTACAGTGTCTGGCACATAGTAGGTACTTAATAAATGCTTATTCTCTTTCTTTCCCATAGACCTCCCTTGGTCTGCATAAACCATGATACTCTTTACTTATGTTAATCACTTCTTCCTATGTTTTCTGCCCCATTACTTTTCTGATTTAAAAAGAGGTTCTGTATTTTCAAAACCAGAAAGACCTGTGTGAGTCCTACCTCTGCAATTTAATGTCTGTGCAACTGCAGATAAGTCACATTGACTTGTCTCAAAGCATCTGTTTATTCATCTGTAAAACAGGGATAAGTATTTGCTTGGGTTGTTCTGAGGATCAAATATAATGATATTTCTCCTTAGTAGACTTTGAGGATCTTTGAGGACAGAGACTGAAGCGTTTTATATCTGTATACTCCCTGCAATTAGCACAGTGCCTTCAACATAGGTGGTATTCAATAAAAGTTTGTTAAATTGAATTGAAACATTACATAAATGTAAGGGATCATCATTCATGTGGAAGAAGTGTGGTATAGTAGACAGAGGACTGGTCTTGGAGTCAGTAAGAACTGGGTTCAATTACTGTCACTAACACATATTATATGTACAGTCAAGGATAAGTCACTTAAGTTTTCAGTGTTCCAAGGCAACAGTCTGAGAATATAATCTGAAGATATGTTGCTAATATGCATTGGTGGAGAGAATTTCCACATGGAAAATTCCATCACTAGTAAAATCACAGGTTTGAAAAATAAACATTTGCAAATGCTATTAAGAAAACATGCATAGAGTTATGCATCCTATGGATACCAAATGTAGGACTAGCTTTATGTTGAAGGAAGAAGAAAGAAACATATTTTTAAACATTTGTAAGATCCCCTAGGAGCTGGAAAATGAACCCTCTTTGAAGTCATGAGGAATTTCATTGTAGATTGGTGTCTATGTGAACAAATCAGGCAAGAATTCGGCTGAATTCTGCTTTGCCTCCTTGCCAACTTTGAGGTAGCTTTCTAGAAGCCACCTATATCTAGAAGCTCTATATGGAGCAGCATATATTGTATAATGGCTGCAAGTTGGTATGGAAAAAAAAAACCAACACTAAAACAAAACAAAACAAAACAGAACAACAACAAAAACAAAACAAAAAAAAACAAAACAAAAAAAAGATTATTCTTGTGTTTGCATGCTTTCAGGAAACTCCAGTGGCTCCCTAACACTTCCAGAAACAAATATCTAATCTTGTTTGGTTTTTAAAGTCCTTCATAACCTGATTCCTTCCTACCTTTGTAGTATCCCCATCTCACATACTCCAGGTAATCTGAGATTCAATGACATTGGCTTCCTTGCATATCCCAGAACAAGAAATTCTTATCTCCTAATTCTATGCATTTTCAATGACTGTCCTCCATGCCTGAAACTCTCTCCTTCCTCATCTATACCTCCTGGCTTTCCTGGTTTCCTTCAAGTCACAGCTAAAACCACACTTTTGCAAGAAGCCTTTTCTGATCCCTCTTAATGCTAATGCTTTCTATATAAGATTATCTCCAATTTATTTTGTACATACTTCTCTGTACATATCTATTCGCATGTTGTTTCCCCTGCTAGATTGTAAGCTCCTTGAGGAGAGGGAATATTTTTTCTTTGTACACCTGGTGCTTAGCATAGAGCCTGGCATATAGTAGGCACTTAACATTCTGTTAACTAGATTGAACTTGTATCAAAGGACTAGAAATTTCCTTAGTTTCTTTAAGGTAACCACTTTCTTCTTTGGAAACCCCACTTGTTTTGCCAACAACCACTGACATTTAACCTATGACAGAAATTTTAAAAAAAGGCAAAACCAGATTTGGCCTTTATAATAATAACAATAGTCTCTTTTTCTTCTTCATGAATATGATCTTCTCTATCAATATGGTATTTTCCATATTACTAAAAAACTACAGCTTGAGGTATAAACACTACAAATTCTATAAATTCAGTAATTTTGAGAAGCTGTGCCAGATAGGTTTATTATTTTTTTCAGCAAAGTTGAATAGGGCATTTGGATTCTGGGGATAGGGAGAAAAATTTCTATTATTTATATCACCAGTGTTTAACACTGTGCTTGGCACTAAGTAAACATTTAATAATTTTTATGCATTTTTTTAGGTATCTAAGAAAATGTGGAAATTCAATTAATTTAATACTATAATATTTTATATTTATTTAGTACTTTAAGTACTTAAAAGTACTGTTACTCACAATAACTCTGTGTAAATATTTCTATTACTTCCCTTTTACAAATTAGAAAACTAAGGCCATGACAGTTTAAATGACATTTCTATGATATACATCTAGCTAGTGTATAAAATGAGATTTAAATCCAGGCCTTTCGACTCCAACTCTGATACTTTTTTTCTTATCTACGGCAAACAAGTGAATTCTTTGAGAGCTGAGTTCAATTAAATAAGATCAGAATGGAGTCAAAATCTTTGCTTATATAATATGTTTTAGGTTTCTACCCTTCCTGTTAAGATTTTCTTCAAAGTCTTGGTCCCAATGTCAAGGTGCCCAATGTCTATGGAATTAGGTGAACTTTATCAACCACAAATTCTGAGTCTGAAAATGATAAAAACTATAAATCAACTGTTTCTAGGATAAGTAACTATTTGATAAGCTCTGTAGAAGCATCTGAAGCCAACACTCTTCTTCCTGCTCAACCATTTCCATTTCCCTCTTTAGATATAGATAATGATATATACACACATACATAGCCATATATGTGTGTGTATACATATATATGGCTCATATCTATATCTTGCTATTTATCTAATCTATATGAATAGTACTTTAGTTTAAAGTTCTTGGTTTAATTAATATGAATGAGAAGCTTTAGTAATATTTCTTTAACTGTCAATTATGAAACAATGTCCTGCACTGAAATCTTTTGACATCATTCTTAACAAAAAATTAATTAGTTTCTAAAGGGAAAAGTCAAATCAGCCCAGGAAAGACTCCTCCCTGAAACATGGATAATGATATAGAATTTGATTAATTCAATTGATAGAAGTATCTCATTTGTTGTTGTGTTGTTTCAGTTTTGTGTCTGATTCTGTGTGACTCCATTTGGGGTTTTCTTGGTAGAGATAATGGAGTGGCTTGCCATTTCCTTCTTCAGCTCATTTTACAGATGAGGAAAATGAGGCAAACAGGGTTAAAGTGACTTGCTCAGAGTCACAGCTAGTATGTGTCTGAGGACAGATTTGAACTCAAGAAGATGAATCTTTATGACTCCCTGTGCTCTATCCACTTTGCCACCTAGCTGAGATGGAATTAGGTCTGTGATTAATTCAATTAATAGAAATCTCTCTTAACTTCACCTTTAATCAGATAGAGGAAGTTGTTAAAGAGGAATAGAATGGTTTTAGGAAAATGCTTCTCTAGGGTACATGGAAAGTGGTGACTATTGTTCTGTTTGATAAATATTAACTGTTACCTAAATTTTGTCCTCTTTAATCTTGATTATGGAATTATGTCTTTTGTTTTGGGGAACACTACAAATTGTGAGTGTACATTGTGATGGCAGAAAGATTTTTTTAAAGAAAATTTGGGTTTAGATTCTTTGAATTTTGTCTCTCTTTCTAGTAGAAACACTTAGATTTGTTTATTTTCTATATTTATCTCTGCCACATATGTATCAGAAAACACATGACACTAAGTATTATTTTTTTCCCCAGGACTAGAATCTAGATTTAGTTTACAGGACTCACGGAACAATTAGCAGCAGCTAGTTCAAATTTGGCCTCAGACACTAGTTATGTGACCCTAGACAAGTCACTTAACCCTGCTTGTCTCAGTTTCTTCATCTGTAAAATGAGCTGGAGAAGGAAATGGCAAATCACTCCAGTATCTCTGCTAAGAAAACCCCAAATGGGATCACAAAGAGTTGGACATGACAGAAAAATGATCGAGCAACAAAAATGTGGAATTGGCCATTCCTAAAGCTCCTTTAAAAAGTCCAATTCCTTATAATTCAGTTGTAAAATGGAGGAAAAATTAAAAAGTAAATTACAATTTTTGCAGACTTTTAAGGGTTTTTTTTTTTGTTTGTTTGAAGGAGGTGGAGTGGACTCTTAATTTCATCAATCCAGGGAACTGCAGGCAAGGAAACTTTGTCTTTAAATGCAGATTGGCACCTGTTTTGTAATTTGTAGTCTTGGTTGCTTGAGGATATTCAGGGGGCATAAGTATTTATTGAGTACCTACTAGTGCCAGGCACTCTGCTTTACAAATATAATCTCATTTAATCTTCACAACAATTCTATGAAGTAGAATTCCTCCTTTATAAAACTGAGGAAATTGGGACGAACAGGTTAAGTAACTCTCCCAGGTTCACACAAATAGAGAGTATCTGAGGTTAAATTTGAATTAAGGTGTTCCTGACTTCAGGCCCAGAGCTCTATCCACTGTGACTTGCCTAGGGTCACAAAGTCAGGATGTGTCTGAAGTCAAACTTGAGCTCAGTTTGACATGACACATATGGTCTCTCATGCTTGTAAAGAATAAGACTGTCTAAATTAAAACTAACTTTTTTTGTAATAAAAAAGTGGTAAAAAATGTACATTTCAATTAGGGCTATAAAGAGATCTGGGTTATTGCCAGGACTCAGTTCAGAAATAATAATCTGAATTTTCTCTGACAGTCAAGATGAGTTTCTTTCATTTTCTAATTCCATTCATACAAATTGTTACCTCTGTATTATTTTTCAACTATAGCCACTTCTAAGCTATAATTAGAAACTACTTACATAATTCACCTGTAAACTGTCCTTGACTATTGGATCCCATGTAGCCTATGTCAAGAAGGTCACTGGCATTGCGCTGGTGACTTCCCCGCAAGACTTCGCCTTTTCTAGGTCCAGTTGATCCTTTCGAAGAAGCTGTTCCTGACGAGCTGTGTCCACCTGGCGATGGGAAGTTGGGCTTACTGTAGGGTACCAGGGCCTCCTCTGAAAAAGAAGTACAAGAAAGGGCTAAAAAAACAGTTGCCTGGGGATGGAGAAGGCATTCAACCCTCTGAAACTGAAATTTACAATAATTTGCTTGATGGTTCAATATCTAGTAAAATTAACAAATAAATCCCCAATATTTCAGAAATTTCTACATGTAAACAGATTTAGATCCAAGAAAGATTTGCTTAGGTCCTGGTGATATAAAAATTATTTTACCTTATTTATAAAATTTGGACTCATTATAAAAGAGAACTGTACATAATGAATCATAGTTTGCTTATCTAAAGCAGATCTGAAAATAACCTTGAGTTCAATGAAATTGATTAGATTTTTCATTAAGAATGAAAGGAATGTAGTTTTTGTTTTAGTTTAAATTATAAGAATTATTTTATAGATTCTACTATTACCCTTTTGTTGTCAGTACACTTTTATTTTAACTACACCATCTTTTATAGATTGCAATTGCTTTATCTTTAAAAATTCTTCAGTTTGGAATTTTACTTTAAAAAAAAAGTTTCCAAAACTGAACTAGGGTTCAGTTCTAGAAAAGGTTGGTTCAATTTGCATAAGAAATGAGTAATGTATTTTTTTAAAAAGATTATCTGAACTTCAGGATTTATGATTTCAGAAGAGTTGTTTCAGAAAAGCTACTTAAAATACATATCTATGATATATTATTTCTGCCAAATGCTGAAGAAATTAAGTTGTACCCACAAAGACAAAGGTAAGTTGGTCACTTTTCCAGATAACCTAAGCACTACAGGGGTGGTATAGTGGATGGTGTACTACACGTTAGAGTCAAGAAGATCTGAGTGTAAGTCCTACCTCAAACACTTACTAGTTGTGTGACCCTGAACGAGTTTCCTCATGTATAAAATAAGGATAACAACAGCATTAGAGTTGTGAGGTTAAAATGAGATCTTATTTGCAAAGCTCTTTACAAACCTTAAATTAGAATATAAATGCTATCTATTAAACAAAAGGTGATGCAAAGTGGATGGTGGGCTGGGCCTGGAGTCAAGAATAGTCATCTTTGTGGGTTCAAATCTGGCCTCAGATACTGACTAACTGTGTGACCTGGTAAATCACTTAACCCTATTTGCCACAGTTTCTCATCTGTAAAATGTGCTAGAGAAGGAAATATCAAACCACTCCAATATCTTTCCTAAGAAAACTCCAAATGGGGTCACAGAGTCAGACACAACTGAAAAAATGACTCAACAATTAAAGCAAACATTATATTCTATTAAAGCTTTCAAATCCACTCACTTATTAATTTAGATAACATTAAAAAGAACCCAAAATTTGGAGTCAGAACCTGGGCTCAAATGCTGGCTCTGATATTTAATATGTGATCTTGGACAATGGAAAATCACTTGGGCCTTCACTTTTCTCATCTATGAAATGAGAATATAGGAAGAGATGATCTCTAAGGTCTCTTCTAGGCTTAGATCCACTATTCCTGTTAAAGGGAAAGTCCCAAGTAATTGATGATTCTGAACCTTGTTTGTCTGAACTGAGCAATTATCAAAATTGTCTGATCAATTCAGTCAAAGTGATTAAAGTAACTGTAAATCCATCAGGGTGTATGGTAGCAGATGGTGCAGGTAGCTTTCACTTTATTGCCCTTTTGGAGAGGTAAGAAAGACAGCAAGATAATTTTCCTGACCTGCTTTGTGAAGGTATTCCAACCCATTGTCTTGTACTTATCCTAATATAATTTTCATATTAAAACATCTGGTAAAAAAATTAATGTCTACACTTTGTTTTGGACTATATCACCACACACCTGATCCAAAGGCTTGTTTGTGTGGGACTCTCCTTAAATCTTCTTGATGTTCTGTGGAGCTTATCCATTCCTGCGTTTCCCGCTGCCACTCTAGTGAGGTTCTAGCGTGTAGATCCAATGAATTCTTTGTTTCATCTATGGGGGATGCATGTTGCCTCTCCAGAGAGCTTCCTTTTCTCTCTGCGGAATTTTCCATGTTACCACCATGTTGGCCAGGGCCTATTTGGTGCCTTAAACCCTGAACTGGTGGGGGATCTGGTGGTGGTGGAAGATCTAAAAATGTTGAATAGGGTTTAGAGTGAACTAAAGTGTAATGGAATAATACTTTTGCTTCAAGCTGAAGATAAACAATGGCTCAATACAGGTAGAGCTGGTGCAAGATTAATTAGAGGAAAATAAAATCAATAATTAGACTCATAAATGCATAATGTTAAAATCATTTATTACTTTCTATCAGTATTCTGGCAATAGATCTTTTGAAATGGAAAAAGCAAGAAGTGTTTCTTAGCATAGGATGCATTATTAGTTGCAAATTCTGTACCTACCAGGAATACAGAAAGTAGTTCAGAGTTTGCTCACAAATCAATCTTTTTCTACTTGCCCACACCTCAGATTGTCTTCCAAAACAGACATGCCGTAACACATAAGAGCATTAACAGCATTACAGAAGATGTGGATTTCTAACATGTCTTAATGACACCCAAGAAAGAACTAAAATTTCTCTGATGATCTCCGCAGGAAATGATGCCCTTGGGATATTAAGAACTGTATGCTCAAGCATATGTGACAGCTGACTGTCTGCACCCATGTAGGTGGCACATTTAACAACAGTCCAGGGGTTAAGCTAACATTCATTAGATGCAATTAACATTCTGCCTGACAAGCAGTTCTGGCTATGTGTTTCATGAATTAGCTAATGAGCTACAACTAATACATTATATTTTTTCAATGTACTTATTTTTATAAGTAATAACTAATGCTCAGAGTACATATTGAATGTTTCATAGGATTGTAATAAGACCATACATTTTGTCAAAGATTGTACTGAATTCTGACTGGGATATAAATTTATCTAATTTTGTCTCTACTGCCGTTCCCTAATTTGACTATCACTTTCCCCACTGTAGCTGTTTGAAACTTTCTTTTCTCCTTTCTGGCCTCCAACATCACCTCCTTTCCCCTCCCTCTCAAGTGAAGTAGTTCACCTTATATTTCACTGAGGAAATAAGAGGCCACTTGTCATGCTCCCTCTTCTCTCTTATTCCACATTTCAAAATATCTTGAAATAATTTTCTATCTTCTTTTTTACTGTGAGGTAGATATGATACTTTCTCTAGCCAAAACTAACACCTTTACTTATACTCATGATCCTATACCTCATGACTCTATTGGCAGTCTGTTCCTATAACTATACCAACTCCAGTCACCTAACCCCAATTCATCTCTCGTCTTCAATCTCTTCAATATCTGCTGGCTTCTTCCTTGCTCAGGTTTCTGTGCTATCCTTAAAAAATAAAAACACCAAAAAACCCTCAACTACATTCTCCTACATTATCACACTGTATCTTTTCTCCTTGAAAAAGCCTCATATCCTAGTTGCCTCCATTTCATCAGTCGAATAAGCTGTTAACTTCAAAGTTTCCAATGATCTCTGAACTACTAAATCCGATGGTTCTTTCTCAGTTTTCATCCTTCTTGATGACACATTCCACACAGTAAACCACCTACTTTTCCTGGATACTCTCTCCTATCAGAATTTGCATGACACAACTTTTCTCAATCCTCTTATTTGCCAGCTCCTTCTGAAGTCTCCTTTTCTTGCTCATCAACCAAAGGTCCTGTATTGAGACCTCTTCTCTCGAAATACTCTCTCTGTAATATAGTAAGTTCCTATAGGTTCAACTGTCATCGCTATACAAATGAATCTCAAATCTGCATAATTTCTTTCTCTCCTAAGCTCTATTCCTATATTACCAATTACCTATTTGAAAATTTCAACTGGAAGTTTCCATAGGCATCTCAAATCCAATGTATCTAAAATAGATCTTTCTATCCCAAAACCACTCCTCTTCTTAATCTCCGTTTTTCTAGAAAGGTTGCACCATTTTTCTATTCACCTCGGTTCATAACCTTTGATTAATTTTTGACTCTTCAATCTCATTCACCATTACTGTCCACACCCACCATCTGAAAAGTCTTGTTGATTCCATCTCTACCACAGATCTGATATCTTCCCCCTGTCTCTCTATTATATTACCCTCCCCCGACCCCTACTTCAGGACCTTACCATCTTTCATCTTGATTATTGTAAAAGTTTCTTAATTGGTCTCTCAGCCTCCAATCACTCTCTTCTCCAATCTATCCTCCACAGAGCTGCCAAAAATATGCTATACTTGTAAAAAAACCATTCTGATCATATCATTCTCTTGCTCTCTAAGCTCCAGTGTCTCCTGTTGCTTCTAGGATCAAATATAGTTTCCTCTATTTGACATTTAAAACCCTTCACAATCTGAACACAGTCTGCTTTTCTAGATTTATTATGCATTGCTCTTTTTCATGAACTCTAACATCTAGACAAACTCTGATTTGATGTTTCTCACATACTACATTACATCTCCTGCATCTATATCTTTGCAAAGGTTGTCCCTCATTCCTGAAATTCATTCCCTCCTTTCTGCCGCCTCTTGAAATTCCTAGCTTCCTTCTAAGCTAAGCTCAAGTGCCATTGCCTACATGAGGTCTTTCCTTATTTACCCAGATACTAATATCTCTCCCTCAATTCCCTTCCAAAATTACCTGCCCTGTGTTATTTGAATATACTTTTTTTGTATTTACTTTTCTGTGTACATATTATTTCCCTCAAAAGAGTGTGAATTTCCCTCAGAAGTGGGGCTATTTCTTTTTTATCTTGTATCTCTAAGTGTGTAGTATCCCAGTGCCTGGCACATAATAAGAGATTTAAAAATAAAAATGCTTGCTAATTTTTCCAGATAGCATATTTATAATTCTTATAAAACATGAAGATGATAACATCAGTATTTAGTTCTTCTAATATTCTTTCTTGTTTTTTTCCCCTCTTAATGATTCTTGAAATACCTAGATTCTTTATTATCCACATATTTATTCATGATGAAATCCTACTGTCCCTCTTTTGTATTCATTCTATTTATTATTGTGTGGTTTTTAATTTGTCCATATCAAATTATATGATAGGATCCTTTTTTTTTGACTGATTCTACTAGCACTAAAAATTCACTCAGGTCAAAATTGTGCTTTTTATTTTGAAATCTCTTAAAGTTTCTGTCATAGTTTTTTTCTCCATTTCCCCTTTTGTTCATTTTGTTATATCTTCTCTGTATTAATCTGGAGAGCTTTTTAGTAAAATAGTGAGGAGAGACTACTTCCAAAAGTTTCTAATATTTTGTACAATGTATATATTTTTTCCCTTTTCAACTTATATGCATGTGTGTGTGTGCACTTTTTTCTGTCCTTTTTTTTCTTTAGTAATTTCCTCTTTTTTGAACCAACATGGTTATCTAAAAGGAAATTTGAATGCATTCAGTACACATTTTCCTTAAGGTTCTGTAAGGAGCTTCTTTCAAATGACTTTTAAAGAAAATTTATAGTTCTTTTAATTTATAGAGGAAGTATTAGGTCATGTTTATTTTGATGTGATATTATCCTTTAATTGAAGTGATGAAGATTATACCTCATGAGGATCTGTTTGGGGAGCTCCCTAAGCGATAATGTTATTCCCACTTATCATGTATATCCTCTAGTTAAATTAGGAGTTACTAATTATTCAAGATAACAGGGTCAGTGTCTGGGGGAGGAAAGTTGTATGTGGAACATTTCTTCCAGAATAAAACATTATTTCCAGATTGAGATGTCTGCTGTACTACATGATTCAAATTATGCTGTACTACATGAATTTAGCGATTTTTTAAATTCGGTGCTGTCTTCAGTGATCTGTTACAAATATAGATGTAATCTTTCATGAGTATCTGAGTGCTGAGCATTGAAAGAAGACCTAGAAATCTGCCAAATAAAATTGTATTTTATTGTACAAGCTTTCTATTGGCTTCCCTTTCCCCACTCGAATACCCACTTCCCATTAGAAATGCTTAACTTTTAGATGGACAATAATGGCAGCTGCTTAAGCCTGCTGAAATTTTGATTCCAGATATTCTAACTTTACAATTAAGTTACATTCTTTAGGCACTGCAAAAAAGAAGTCCATCACATACTTTGATATGGACAAACTGAAAACCACACAATAATAAATGGAATGAAGAGTGAATGGATGGAGCAAAGATAAAAGTATAAAGTTATTGATTAAATTAGTTTGAGTTACTGGGTAAGAGGATGCTATACTTGAATTAAATCATTATTCTGTTTGATGTTGATTCATCTCACCTTTTAACTATATTTTCCTCAGTGATGAAGTCAGGGTAGTAAGTAGTCCATTATTGACATGGAAGAGTGAATAAGAGCAATTCCATGACCTTGATATGAGTGGTAGGGGAATGCAAAGCTAAGTTAGAAAGCTTACAATTTAATCGATGAGGTGGAGTAGAATTCGGCTTCCAACTCTCCATTTTTATGGTGTTGCAACTTCTAGAATTGGAGCATCTAATATTTTATTTAGTGTTGATTTATACTCTTGGAGAATAATACTAAATGAGTTTTATTGATTTTTGTAAATGTGTACATTATTTTGTGACTTTCCAGTGATTTTATTGGTGAAGGGGGATTCCCAGTGAGGAACCCATCTCAAACGAATACTTACTGGTACCTGAAGTTGCCTACAGCACTAAGAGATAAAGTCATTTGCTCAGGGCATCACAGCCAGTACGTGGCAGAGCTCTTCCTGACTCTAAGTTCAGATGTTCCCTATCTACCATGCCATGTTGCCTCTCACCTCATAAAATATTAATGTTAAATCCATAATGCCAGAGTTATTGTGACACTTTTTTTATCATTCAAAAATCAATGAAGCAAAATAACGTTTATCTATTAAGTGTCAGTACCACACAGCAAGACTCCACCAAGGGGAAAACTATTTTCCAAGTGGATGTTATGATGTGGTTTCTGATACCATACTTTAGTGTGGTACAATTCTTGCTGCTGAATTCTCTTAACAGGATCTTTTTGAATAATCTGTATTATTTTGTAAAAATGAAGTACAAAATTTGTACTTGATTGAGAATAACAATAAACAATATTCTTTATTTTGGGTTTCCTTGACAAGCAATGAATTAAAATTAATACTCTTTTACAGTATATCTCAAATAAAGTCTAGATTAACACCTGTTAGGAATGTAATATGGGCTAGAGAGCCTGGACAAGGGATATCTATCAACTCTTGGGGTCTATAATTAATCTCGTTAACCCCTCCTAAATGGTTTGAGAAGCTAATTAAATCCATTTGCTAAGTTAGCTTTGTATATCTTCTTTCCTTTACTCCTTTGTTTAACTGTTATTCTAATGGTGAATTCCAAATGATTCCAAATGAATGGGGGCAGGGGAAGGTGTCTTAATAGGCTTGTTAGATAATTTCTGTTCATAATGGCTTATATTTACATAAGGTATTTCACTAAAACAAGACACAGAGCTAGATATTTTTATAGGTAAATAGTACTTTGTCTAAATTCCTCTACTCTTAGCATATTTTGCCTTCTATGACATTTCTTTGTATATATACATCTTATTTAGTAGTTATTAAATTACAAACTCTCTGAGGGCAAGGTCTGGGTCATTTTTGATCTTTATACATGCAGTGCTTAAGAAAGTGACTTGAATTAATATGATTTCTACCAACTTATCACATCCACTTACATTGTTTGTTCTAGCTTCCCAATTTGGAGATAGCAATGAGGTAAAACGAAATAAAACAAAACAAAAAACCTACCATCTGTCATTCCCTCCCTGCGATGAGGCAGTGGGGGTTGGTCCAATTTACTTCCCTTGTGTTTTTTAGAGGGCCTAGGCCTCTGACTCTGATTCAGCGTTGTACTGGTGTTATTGTCAGTAGAAAAGGGACTGGTTGGTCGAGGTCTTTGAGAAGAAGAGAATGCTTTGCCTAAAACGAAAGACAATGGGAATGGGAAATACAAAACATCATTATAACAAAAAGGATTTTGCCTTTATACATCTACTCTGATTAAAGATAAGCTAACAAGATTGTCTCTCAGGGACAATGTTTTGCTTTCTTGGTACTCTTCTGATCAAACACAACAAAGAATAATATGCTACTCGTTTCAAAAAAAAAAAAAGGAGAAGAAAAAAATCTGACTACCCAAAACTTGGGTTCAATATGTCTAAGATTTTGAATAAGCTAGGGCAATTATATTCATAAGTTATAGTTCACTACATTCAGTTGTTTTCTTACTGACATTAAAGGAGAAAGTTCCAAAATTAATTAAATGTTAGGTTAGTCTAATTATATTCTTAAATTCTTAGAAAAATATGGAGAGCTTTTATATTCCACCAAAAGAAAAAAAACTTCCCAGAAATATTTACTTAGATATGTTCATTGGACTGCACCACACACAAACATTTTGTTTCACTTTTTCGGTCATGTCTGACTTTTTGTGACCCATTTGGGGTTTTCTTGGCAAAGATACCGAAGTTTCCTTCTCCAGCTCTTTTTACAGATAAAGAAACTGAGGCAAACAGGGTGAAGTGACTTGCTCAGGGTCACACAGCTAGTTAAGTGTCTGAAGCTGGAATGGATCTCACTGAAGATAAGGGTTCTTGAATCTAGGCCTGGCACTCTTTGTATCTTGCTGCATCCCATACCCCCTCCCCCACAAACATACAGTATGTTTATCAGTCAGTTGTGTTCTACCGTTTTTCCATAGAATCTTTCACTTCAGTCGTATTAAGGTATATGATATGCAACAGTTTAAAAGTACATTATATATCAGAATATAGAGTATAAAGTGCATTTAGTCATGAATTTCCACTTCTAACTTCTCAAACATTTATGAACATTGTATTGCTTTGTCGTTGTTGGGTTGTTTTTTTTTTTGTTTAATGTATTATATTTATTCAAGGAAAGATGGTAGTATTATATTGGCAAAAAAAATGATGGATAATACTTTTAACATCATATAGAATCTAGCATGCATACCTTCTACATCATAGCATTTGGCATAGTGAAAAGAAAAATAGATTTAGAGTCTGAAAACCTGAGTTCCAGCACTAACTCTGATATCCCAAGCTTTGTGAGTGTGGATAAGTTACCAAGAGTTTCATTTATAACATCAAGATAATACACTATTTATCTCACAGGATTCTTATAAAAAATAACATAAATGGCAGCTATCATTTATTTTTATTATAAAATGGATTATTATGAAGAAAGCACTTTATAAAGCTTAAAGCTCTACCCAAAGTTGAGCAACTATCATTACTATTCCTATAAATAGGTAATATTTATTCTAAACACATTTATCTAGCTGCTTATCTTTAAGGCAATCTGATATGTTGCTTAATGTTTTACTAATATTAGCATACATGAAACAAATGAATTTATGCTACCTGATTTATTAGTTTGACTTTTCAAATTGTTTCTACATATTGTATATACCACATAAAACACTTGATGAACATTCGATTTCTGATCTAAACTTCATCAAGAAAATAATTCAAATAACCATTATCTTATATTACACTGTGGTTTAAATAAAAATAAACCTCTGTAACTCCTAGACACAGGAGTCTCTCTTTCTCTATTTATGTGTACAGTAGGTTTCTTTTTAATTAGCACCTATCTATCTAGCTAGCTAGCTAGATGGCTATCTGTCTGTCTGTCTATCTTCTGCTGTTTCAGATCAGAAACTGCTCTGCAACTTATAGCCTTACAGAAATACCTGAAACACTGAGAGTACAAATAACTTGCCTCAGTCTACACAATCTATGATTTATAGGTGAGACTTGAACTCAGGTCTTCTTGACTCTATATGAGAGGAACTTTGTGTAATTGGTAAAGAGTCAATCTCCACATTTGGGGTTCAAATTCTAGCTCTGAAACACATTGGCTATGTAATCCTGGGGAAGCACATAAACATTCAGGGACCTGTCCAATTCTCTTAAGACTATAAGAAACATAGCATTGCTAATTTGCCTTGGTAGAGGGCATTTTCTCACTGTAAGCGAAGTTATACTGGGCACACACATACACACAAGTGGGTTATTGAAACTATTTTGTTTTAAGAAAGACAAAAATAAAATTTAATGATAACTTCTTAGAGCAAAAAACAAGATTCTTTTTGGTGTAGTGAAAAATAAGTTGCCAGTTATACTATTACTTTCAGAAGCAAAAACTGAATTCTTAAAAAAAACTATGTATAAACACCATTAAATTTAACTTGCAAATGCAGTAGGTTTCTTTTTAATTAGCATCCTGTAAAATAAAGTAAAAAAAATATTGGATTAAATAACAAATCCCAAACAACAAAACTATCTGGCATTTGCCCTGTTAGACTGACAAACTTATATGCACTCACCCCATGCTTAGAAAGTCTTCCTAGAAAATGTATTTGCAAAAGAGTTGGGCTAGAGGCACAGTAATAAAGATAAAAGTTGAGCACTTTTTATCACTAGAAAGTTTACTGATTGTGTGAGGATTTTGCAAAGTATATATTACCAAACAATAATGGCAAAGTTAGTAGCAGCTTTGCTGCAATATAAAAAAGAAGCACATATCAGTTAGTTTATCAAGTAGTGGAGAATAAAGGGAATAATTAGAAGACCAAATGATGCTCTGCATTACTTATATTAACTAGAGTTGTGGTAAGTATTCACCCAAACTTATTTTCATGCATGTTAAAGGAATGCCTTACAACCAGATCCTTTGAGGAGAAAGATGATTAAGAGGATGAAAAAAGCTCAGTGTGAATAGCATAAGGTTCCCTCATGCAGAAATTGGCAACTTCAAATCTACCAACCTGTTTTTGTAAGGCTAGTTCCATCCAGCCTAAAACCAGCTTTATCTGCTGCTGCAACCAGTGCTTGTGCAAAACTGCTGCTGGTCAAGATGGAGTCATCTGAGGAGCTACCTACACTAGATCTATGACTAGAAAAGTTACGATCCTCATCAGATGCAGAACCCCATCCATTTACCATTGAACCTAAAAACAAATGTAATTATCTAGTGAGTTGTATACATTTCATTTATGATCTGTTTGTATATTGTATAATATCAGCAAGATGCAGAGAAGATGCCATATAGAACACTTTAGGGATAGGGATCAATCATTGCTCTTGTGATTTGATTAATATAAAGAACTTCAAATGAGAAAAAAACATGTTAGCATCTTCTCTGCAACCTATAGTCTTAGAGAATTGCCTAAAAGACAACTGAGAAGTTAAGTGACTTGTTCAGGGTCACATAGGTAGTTTACGTCAGAGGTGGGACTGGAACCCAAGTCTTCCCTTCTTCAATGCCAGCTCTCGATCTACTGTATTGTGCTGCTTTATCAGTGCAAAATGGGCTCTTAAACTACACCATTAATTTCAAACATTAATTTCAAAAATATTACTTAAATAATTTCAGTGATAAGGTATCAATGTGACATGATAAAGACATAGCACCATATTCCCCAAATAAAAGAAATGCACAGCATGAAATAGTTCTAAATTCTAAAATTACTTGGAATTCCAGGAACACACACAGGTATGTAAAGATAAAATGAAGTACTTTACTTTTCATTTTTTCCCCTCTACTATTTAATAGACAATAATATATTTGAGACTGTTATTCTAAACTAATCCATAAGTTTCAATCAATTGTCAGGCTTCCATAATACAGCCTCATGCACTTCCAAGATTTAAAAAGGAAAAACAAAAAACAAAAAAAACCCCAATAATAACAACAACAAACAGAAACTGAAGGGGTGAGAAGGATCTGTCAGCCTTAAAGCATATTAAGTGTGGCAGAGAGAATGACTGAGTATTGATTCTATTTGCCAAAATCACACAATTTTTTTTTTTACTTTCCAAACACAGTTCACTTGACAAACAGCTGCAAGGAAGGTAAGATAACAGAAAAAACTGAGCTACCTCAGGGAGAACAATATTTGATCTAATAATTGCAAGTCAAGGACCATCAGACAAAAATGAAAAGAGAAATGATGCAATGAACTTTGCTACATGATACTATAGTAGATAGGAGAAAACAAAATGTAGCAGTTAGTGGTCACAAAAGATTTTAGAAGTGAATATACTTCTTAAAATACTGAAAGGATGTTAAGAGTTGCTTCAAGTTTTTTATTGTTCATTCATAAAACCTATGCTTTAAGAAAAATGTGATTTAATTCTTCCTAGTTCTCTTTTTTCTTTAAGCAATGACCAATTTTCTTCATATAAACATATTTTATAAATGGACAATGCAATTATAGACAATACTTTATTACCCAGACAGTTGAAGCAGTTATATAGGTGATACAAAATGGCCAAGAATAAAATCATAATTTTTCCTGTATAAAGATGACAAGTAGCCTCCACCTAGTGCCATTAATTAGTTCTATAAAAATATTATCTTAGTTGAAACAATGTTACAAGGGGCTGGGAAATCAAAATGATTGAAGTTTAAGCACTAGGTCAGAATATTATATCCATCTGATTTTGCATTTGGTACCATTTCTTACAGAAACATCTTTTAATGTTATACTCAGGCTTGATATTAATGTCTTAATGATATTATGAAACAAAATTATTCAAAGAAACATAATTAAGAGTTTTCATTATGGATATGTCTAATCTTTTGATAATTCACAGCATTTTAACCAAGTCAATGAAACCTTTGTTTTTGTTTTTGTTTTTTTGACTTACAGTATGGTTTTTAGGATAGAGAGAAGGCATAGTGTTTAAAAAAAAAAAAAGGAAGGGCCAAAAGTGTCTTTCTCTGCCAATCTGCCCTTCTTACTGATCCTCACATGTGACACTCCATGTCATTTCTCTATGCTTTGAACTGACTAGCACCTACTACAGTAAAGACTCAACTACTACTTTCTGTATGAAGCCTTTCCTAACCTCCCTCCCTCTCTCCCTCCAAATGCTAGCATCCTCCTACCC